GAATTTTTTGTCAGAACTGGGAATAAAACAAGAAGACTGTGTTCTCTACTATGGCAATCAAAGTGCAGTACATCTCGCAAAAAATCTGGTGTTTCACAGTCGAACGAAACACATAAAGATCTGATATCATTTCATATTAGAATTGATAACTGATGGTACACTAAATCTGAAGAAAATCCTTGGTACAAAAAATCCAGCTAATATGTTTACTAAGGTGGTACTAACTGATAAATTGAAGTTGTACATGGCTTCAACTCGGATTCCATGAACTTAAAGAGGATTTTGTGACTAGAGAGGGAGACGAGTGTTATAGAAGATACGAACTTGCATGGCAGTTGAATGATGGTCAAGCCTCCAAACGAGAGATTGTTAGATATGGAGACCTATAATCATGACTGAAATTTAAAGACTGGATTTTTTTTGGGTGGAAATCACAAGATCTTAGGCGTGGGCTGGGCGGGGCAATTTCTTTTTAGTTTTTTTTTTTCAGTCAAGTTTGGCTTTTTAGATGTTTAGGTCAAAATTTCTCGTTTATATACTTATGAATGACCATATCTGTAACATTGCAGCAGAAAAGTGTGTGTGGAATAAAATCTTTGTCTCTAGTTCGACAGTGGATCTAACCTATCGCAAAATAATGTGAACCACTTAAATCCCTGTGTTTTGATTTCATTCTTTTCTTGTTTTCTCGTATTCTTTAGATATGTTTCCATTTATCATTTGTTCTTTAACTAACATATGTAATACAACTATGTTCTATTTTCCTATAGGGTATATCCCACAAAAGTCATTATGTATACATCCATGTCCTGTTTTAACCCCAATTTTTGTTTTTGTTCCTTATATGCCATTATATTTTGAAAAACTTTTCATCTTCAAGTACTTGGGTGGTTACCAACAGGTTATGGTGACGTGTTAGCTAATATATTATAAAAGAAAAGAAAAAACCTAGTGTAAGTCTCGAATCTAGGACATCTAATAAACAATGTGACGTATTAATATTTGAGCCAATCAAATTTGTTAATTCATTCGTAATTCATTTAAGAAACAATTAGATATTCCTAATGACATAATTGTTAAGAAATTCGTATTTCTTGGTCGTTGTTTTCGGTGCTACTATAAGAGGTGTTGATTCGCAACTTTCCTTGAGAGAGAGAGAGAGAGAGGAGGGGTTAGTCGATGAGCCAAAAGCTCTCTTTGTTATGGCATAAAAACTTATTTAGTTGTCATCCCATCATAATTTGAGTCAACAAGTTAAAAATGCATTAATAAATATGCCATTATATGTAGCCAAGAGTTTAGTTTCTCAACATATATGATCTCATTTCTTTGGTTTTTTAACGAATATGTCATTAGAAATAACTAATTGTTTCTTAGATGATTACGAATGAATTAACAAATTTGATTGGATAATAGGTTAACATGTCGTATTGTTTATTAGATGTCACGGATTCGAGATTTACACTAGGTATTTTTCCTTATTTTAAAATATATGTATACATTAAATATAATAAACACTAGTAATACACGGAAAGAAGAAGCCATTGGCTTATTAGCTCAAACGCATTGCCCATCAATAAGATGTTCCGGTTTTGACTCTTGCCTTCAACGTCTCTCTCTTTTTCATTTGAAGGGTCAAGGGCTAAAAACGAAAAAAGAAATCCAAAAAATAATGGCAAACGGAGAACATAAAAATGTTGTGGCTAAACACAAAGTGATGTGTATTTGTTAGGGTTAAATGTAAACCGAGAAAAAAAAAATTATGCCAGCAAAACCGATACATCATCATAATCTGTTGGTGATCCCAGCCAATCGCCCAAAAATAAAAAGTTTTCCAAAATATAATAGCTAAGGAACAAAAACATAAGTTGTGGTTAATGAGGTTGTATACAATGACCTTTGTAACAGAAATCTTTTCCTATAAGTACAACTCTTTCTCGTTTACAACTACTCAAATTAACTATATAAATATGACAATAATTTATGTGAGTCCGGAAAAAATCGTTGGTAGTCAAGTACGTTTGAATGCAAGCATAAGAATTTACCAAGATGTCATTCTTGATAAATTTCATATTTCCTCAACCAAATCAAAAACTAATAAAAATGCGTCGTCAATTATAGAATTTAACCCATATTTTCATGGGAATCATATTTGTTATATTATTATAAAATTAGGTTTAAAAACTAAAACGAGGCCACGATGAGCCTTGATTAGTCGTTGGGTACGATTAAGTAAAGGTGGAACACTGGAATGAGGGGGCCAACAACTCACCAACCTTTGTATTAAAAACGGACATCTTAGTACAATTTATGTATTTTATATATATATATATATATATATATATATATATATATATATATAATATATATATATATATATATATATATATATATATATATATATATATATATATATAGGGGAGGGTTCATGCGAAAATGCAAATAATTTGCGAAAACGTGAAAACAAAAAAAAACTATGATATTGTGTCACCTCAACCTTATATTTTAGACAATAATCCATCCAAACTTTGAACTACATGATAATAATCGATTATACATAAAAAATTGTTTTATATTAGCAAAGCATGATTTTTGACATTTTTATTATAAAACATGAATTTAAAAGTGGTCAAAGATGTGAAAAAACAAATAGTCGATGAAACCGTCTTTAAATCTATATTATCATAACACAATCAAATGTAAACTTATTATATTTAATTTATTGCTAATAAATTTAATTTTTATAGTACTTGTGTTTGGTTTTTATAAGATAAAATCTGTTTTCGCGTTTTCGCAAGATATTTATGTTTTCGTACGAACCTACTTGTGTGTGTATATATATATATATATATATATATATATATATATATATATATATATATATATATATATATATATATATATAGGGTTAGGTTCATGTGAGACGACCTAATTTTGTGAGACCGTAAGACGTATTTTTTTATTTTTTTTATTTATTTTTTATTTTTTTTAGTTAATTCAAGTTCCGAAAATAATATTTAAAAAAAGAATTTTTTGATTTTTCCATTTATTTAAGCATTTTAAAATTATTTTTAGAATATATACAGTGTAATATTCTATTTAGAATATTTTACGTATTTTTCAAAAAAAAATAGGATTTTTTTTATTTTTTTTAGTTAATTCAAGTTCCAAAAATAATATTTTAAAAAAAAATAATTTTTAGATTTTTCCATTTATTTTGCATTTTAAAATTATTTTTTAGAATATGTCAGTGTAATATTCTATTTAGAATATTTCACGTATTTTAAAAAAACGGATTTTTTATTATTTTTTTTTATTTTTTTTTAATTAATTCAAGTTTTGAAAATAATATTTAAAAAAAGAATTTTTGGATTTTTTTATTTATTTTGCATTTTAAAATTATTTTTAGATTTGATCTCATAAAATTAGAATGGTTTTAAATAAACCTGAACCTATATATATATATATATATATATATATATATATATATATATATATATATATATATATATATATATATATATATATATACTCTTGTACAATATAAAAAGAATTACGTTTTTAGGAGATCTTTCTTGTTGTTGACATATTTTAGATACAAACTCTGAACAAGAACAAGATAATAAGAAGCAAACAAAAACAGAATTGACATGGTCTGCATGGCAAGTATCGAAAACTATCAAATTTTTATATGTGACAACACGAATTTATATTCTCAGAGGCATTGACGACGAAATGAGATGACATGAGGTGATAAACAACAGAGTGTTTATTCGATTTATTCCTCAAACACGATTGGAAGAAAACCGATAAACAAACACATTACACAAGGAACAGTCTGTTAATGGCAGGTGTCACCAGCTCATTCCAAATCCTGCACTCTATAAATCTTAAACCTCCCACTCCATCAATCCCCACAAACTCATAAACCCTCAATTTTCTACACCTCAACTGTAAATCAACAAAATATGGCTGTTGAAGAAGCAAAGAAGGTAGAGGTCGAACCTGAGTGCCTGGCTGAGCCACCGCCTCCTCCTCCACCCACCGTCGTGGAGAAGACACCTTCCGTTCCTGAGGAAAAACCCACCGATGAAGCCAAAACCGTTTCCGTTGAAGAGAGTAAGTCTCGTTTTATCTGTGATATCGACAGCGTAAAGTTCATGCACGGATGCACTCTAACTGTTTGTTTATATGCCAGAGTCAGAGCCTTGCGAGGAGAAACCAACAGAGGGTTCCGTGGACAGAGGTAGCATCATCGTTCATCAATTCTCTGTTTCATTACTCGTAAATCATAATTAATTTGTTGATAATCAGAATCGAAGCCTGGTTTTGATTTTTGAAGTTTGAGTTAATCGTTTTTCTAAATTATAATCAGATGTTGTCCTCGCTCGAGTCGCAACAGAGAAGAAAGGCGCACTCATCAAAGCATGGGAAGAGAGCGAGAGATCCAAAATCGATAACAAGTAAGAAAACCTACAAACTTATAACATAAAATCAGATGCTCGATTAAAAAAAAAATAAAAAAATAACTCTGTAATGTTTGAATAGAACCGAGAAGAAGCTAGCTGCCATTGGAGCATGGGAGAACAGCAAAAGAGCAGAACTGGAAGCTGAATTGAAAAAAATCGAGGTCAATTACTCAATTTCAATTCCCGAAGATCTTCTTCGTTTAGTTATTATATTGATTCTTCAAGTTTTTGATAAACAGGAGGCTTTAGAGAAGAAGAAGGCTAAATACATAGAAAAGATGAAGAACAAAGTGGCTCTCCTTCACAAAACAGCAGAAGAAAAGAGAGCAAACACAGAAGCCAAACGTGGAGAAGATGTATTGAAAGCAGAAGAGCTTGCAGCTAAGTGTCGTGCTACTGGAGCTACCCCTAAGAAACTACTCAGATGGTTTTCTAAATAACAAGCTTCTTTGCAAATCTTTTAAATTTTTGTTTATTTGTGTATTTGATTTCATGCTTTCATGTTTTGATTATTATTATTTTTTGTGTGCATTTTGTACCTAGAACAAAATAAAATATATACATATGTAACAACCAAGTTTCAAAAGTAACATTTCTATCAAGAAGTTTCAGATTCCTAACAAGTCTTATAGAGTAAATAAGTAGGAAGGCTTACCTATTACAAACAACCAAACATTTTCTAAGCCGAATTATCATTTAAATATTCTAGATATTCCCCTTCATTTGGAAAATCAAGCAACAGATCCAACGTTATATCAGATGACTTCTCTGTTTTATAAGAGTTTGGAGAGTACGAGTTACTATTCGTCCCCTCCTCAGCTTGCATTGTAATCACCGATTCCGATTCCTTTCCTCTTTGAAACGCATCACCACCAACAGAATTCCACGCTTTCATAAAGTAGTCACAATCGCCTCCACCAGTAACAACGGGATCCATTGCCTCCACCCTGGCACTCTCCCATTCTGCCATGTGGCTGGTTGACAGGAGCTTGGGTTTTATATCTTCTGCTGACATGGAATCTGAGTTGGCTTGTAAATTTGGGATGCGTTTCCTTAAATGAGAGTTCCAGTAGTTTTTAATCTCGTTGTCTGTTCTTCCTGGCAGCCTTGATGCTATAGCTGCCCACCTGCATATTATATAAAAAAAAAAATTTGACTTAATGGGTTAAGCACTTAATCTAAAAAGAAACATACAGAACTTAATCAGGAGGAAAAAAGAAAATAATTAAATAAAGAGAGTTAAGAGTTATTACTTGTTACCAAGCAAGGTATGCAGCTGGAAAATGGTTTGCTCTTCTTCAAAAGTGAAAGCACCACGTTTTATATCAGGACGAAGATAGTTTGTCCATCTCAGCCTACAGCTTTTTCCACATCGCCGGAGACCTGCCGGAAAAAGATAATGATTTGCCATTTCTTAATTAAAATTGGTTTACCCTATTTATGAGTGTATGTGCATTGGGCAGTGGTCCTATTGATTCAGGGAAAGGCTGTCTACATAGGGACTGATTTGGTATTTATTGTCATGTGTGTATATTCAGAATTTGGTGTCTGATTCTTATTGTTTTTAGGGTTGTCTTCATCTCAATATATTTTTATTCCATGGGTCATGAATTAAGTAACTTGTACATTCGAGCAATTACTCCGCGGTTCACAACTTTTTTGGCAAAAGAAATATTGAGATGATCAAAGGACAATCCACAATTTCTATAGAGGTAACGTTAGGTCGTGTGTTTGGATAAAGCTTCCATGAACACCATTAGTGGGGACACATACGAGATCTGGATAATAACTTTACCACCAATCTCTCCATCGATTCACGAAAGTGAAAATTCGTCTGAACGGCTAGATTTGGGGTCGAATGTGAAAAAGCAGAGTGAGAGAGATTGAGAGAGAGAGAGAGAGAGAGAACCTGCAAGTTTAGGGAAAGAACGCCAAGTGCCATGGCCGTTCTTAGTGATATAATCGAGAAGTATCCTGTCTTCTTCAGGGGTCCAAGCACCTTTTTTCACCTCGCCTTTATCGCAACATGGTAGTCTTCCCATTTTCCCCTCTTTTCCCCCCTTTTTTTTCATTCAACAAATTCGCAGAAACGAACTGAGTGAAGGAATGTGTGTGCTTATGAGAGAGAGAGAGAGAGAGAGAGAGAGAGAGAGAGAGAGAGAGAGAGTCAAATAATAGACGCAGTCCAAAATGACAGTAAGTCAGTAATGGAAGCCAATTATCGATGACCGGACCACGATTTTGAACTTCTGAACTAGCATTAACGCCTATGAAATCGTACTATTTCATCTCTGCAACATTTTCCAGTACAATTCATTAGAAATGCCCCAAATAATTGCACAATTTGAACATTTAAAAGCTAAAAACGTGTCTTCATCACACACACAACAATGAATAAAAAGTTGCTTCGAACGATTAAACAACCAAAGCTGCAATAACAGCACAATTAAACGTCTTTAATATAGGTGGCTGTCACTGTTACCAAAGCTAGAAAAGTTTTTTTTTTCATAAAAACATACAAATCCTCACACACAAATGCATGCGAAAGAAACAAATTGAGGAAGGTGATGAATGGGAACCTGAGTAAGCAGGAGATTTGACAGAATAATGGAGTTTATGGAGTGCAAGAAGGTGCAAATGGGGGATGAAATTAGGGTTTTTTTTGGGTGTTTATGAAGAGAAATGAAGTCTTCTACTGCATATGTCCATCTCTGTGTTCTTTGCGTTTCTTAATGCGTGAGCTCGTGGAGAACATGACAAAAAGAGTGTGACCTTTTTATTTGTTTATTTTATATTAAAAATTAAAATTTTGGAAAAAGTTGGGTTTTGATAAACTGACTTGCAGTTGATTTGTATTTTCCATGCACCTGAACCACGTGTTATGGAGTGTTTTACTATTTTTTGATTTCTTTATGTACATGAAAAAAATGCAACTTTACAATATCTCTAGATACATGAAAAAAATGCAACCACTAGTCAATTTATATAGTATATTAATATATTATTTGCAACCCTAAAATAAAACAACGTATTACATTTTTTTTTGTGGAAGGGAGGAAAATTTTATAAAAAACTAGCAAGAATCTAGAAAAAGAAACATTGATACAAGCTAAAGTAGGATTATGGAGTCAAGCAAGTCTAAACAAGCTTAGTTTTTATACATCTATTAGAAATCCAAAAAAAATGCTCTATCAACAATATCATCAAAAATAAGATATTTCCTAGGCAAAACCGTTCCAAAAATGATGGAATTTCGAAAATTCTAAAGGAACCAAAAGGCTGACATCACAACCGCATTGTCATACTTCCAAATCAGAACGGCGGAAACATCTAATGGCGGATGGAGTAATTTCATGTACAGTATCATAACAATTGAATAGTAATAAAACATAGCAACATAAACATTCACACATTGAGAATTCAAGTATTACATTGTTTACAAAACTCTGCTTGTTCAAGAGTTGAATACAAATAACTGAAAAAGTAGAATAACATGAGATGATGTCACACCCCCAAACTAGAACGACAGAAACGTTCGGGGGCGGAAGACGTCATGTACAGTATCATAACATTGCACAATAGCAAAACAAGCAACAATATCCATTGCATTAATAGAATAGTTAATACATGTGTGTTCTGCGAATAATTGTATGACACCAAAAATGTATATTTAACAAAATATAAGATGAGTATTAAACATGCTCCATCTTCTCAAAAACCTGGTCCAATGTACATGTCTACTGGTGACCTGAGAATACAAATTATTTTGAAAGAGAGTATCAACATAAAACTTGAGTGAGTGCATAAGTATTTTTGTGTCAAGTGTTTGCATTTATTTCATGAAAATGTTTGTATATGTATAATGAAAATGTTTGTATATTTTCCAGAAAATTCTATATTTTCTTCTAAAATGAAAAGTAGTCTTCTACCAAGACTCAACTGTTTGTATGCTCTGTTCTCTTGAATAAAGTGTAAAATATATGTTTATACTTGAAATAGTATAAATGTATGTTTTTCCATATATGTAACTATCTTTACTTGAAATATAGTATGCATTTTTCATGTGAAGATATCACTATATGAATGTAAATGGAAAATGAAGATTTACAGTAGTGTTATATAAAATACATTACTGATACATTAAATACCTTGTAACCAAACTGGTTAATTTAAGGTTAAAATGTGATTAAGGTTATAACCACGCTTGATTGACTAGTATAAAACACGACATTCTTTAGGCGTCGAAAATGATATGACATTTGTCATCCGTAGACTTGCATGTCTTACTGTAGCTAGCAGCAAGGTGTAGGATTGTCAATCCAGTATAGATTTATACATAAACTCATGCTCTCCCTCCATGAGACTCTGGTTATAAAACGTGACATAGCAAGGATATTGTTTTGCTATGAAATAACATCTTACATTTTAGTTGTCTTGTTTTTGTTATAGTATGTATGTCCCTTTTGGTTCTTGTTATAGTATGTATATTCCTTCTGGCTCTTGTTATAATATGTATATTCATTATGGTTCTTGTTATAGTATGTATATTCATTCTTGATCTTGTTATAGTATGTATATTCCTTCTGGTTCTTGTTATAGTATGTATGTACTGACTCATGTATGTTTCTCTGATCTAGAAACAGTATGTAGAAATCCTCTAAACTATACCTATTATAGTTTACTAGTATGTTTGTTTGAACTGTTACTAATTTGTAGAAGAGACTCAATTGTTCAACATAAGCAACTGAGTTGGTATGTTCCTTAAAAATGGGTTTAATATTCATGTATGTATTCAATGAGTATAACAATGATTTAGCTGACAGTCGGACTAATGATCTTACCCCAAGCCCACAACCAAACAAGGAACATGATTCAAGGTATTTAGGAATAGTCCTAAGTCCGTTAAAGCATACTCATACATAAATGGATACACGAATATGATTTTGATATAAACAGAAATCTAAGAATAGTTTGAAAATGGTTTTAACAAGTGTTTGAGTATAAGAAATCCTTTTGTTTGATGTTTTCACATGTAAGTGGTTAACACAATTATATCGTGTTCTACTTGTATTCTCCCCCTTAAAAGCATTTAAAAAGCATTTAAAAGCATATAACACTTAATTTGTAGGGGTATGAACTCACCTTATGTGAGTGATACGATTGAATGATCAATATAGTATGATTGATTCACAAGCTAGTTCATGGGACAAAACAAGTCCTAAATAGCAATTTATGCAACATATTGGCATGAAGTCAATGAATATAACCTCAAAGTTATTAGGAAAACAACCTAGGATGTAAGAAACGATTACAGAAGAAGTGTTAGAACCGAAATCAAGAAACTGTTTGATGTTCACGGTCAGAGCTCGGTGTCCACGGCCGTAAAGGGTTCACAGCCCTTGAAGATTTGAAGGGTTCATGATCAAAAACTCAGAAATAAAGAACACTTGGTTGCTGAAAGGATGAAATTTTGATGATTCTCAATAGATCCGAAGGTGGATTAAGGATCCTCGGATGATAGATGAGAGAAAAGTGCCCCTTCCTATTGCAGTTAGCGCACTGCATTTCCTAGCAGGGTCCATTATGGTGGAAGTTGCACTTATTGCACTTGGGCAAGCTTCCTGCATACTGCTTCATTGGCACAGTAGCAGTAGGTGTTATCGCAACATGAAAAGTTGCACTTATTTTTGGCAAAGTTCTACGCCGCTTTGTTCTTCTTGTTATCCCAAAACTTCCGCTTGTTGTCAGCGGCCTTGGATGGTTCTTGGATTGCTAGGGTTGTTGTCGTTGTCAGGGTGCAGACTCCATGATCAATGAGCCCCTGTGCCAATTACTTGGCACTATCGAAGGTGGTGGGGTTTGAAGCTAAGACATTCCCATGTAATGTAGGCACCAGTCCCTATATGTACCTCTTAACTTTCTTTCCCTCAGTAGGGACCATCCCGGACATAGTGCCACCAGATCGCTGAATCTGGCAGTGTATGAGACTATGTCGGACCCCTTCATGGTTAGGCTCTAGAGTTCCTGCTCAAGTTTCTGAACCTCGCCCCTCGGGTAGTACTCTTCAATCATGAGCTCCTTCAGAGCTTCCTAGCCCATAGCATTAGCCACTATCAGGGTTAGTGACTTGACATGGCTTTTCCACCACGTCAGAGCTCTGTCCGCGAAGGTGCAGGCAGCAAATTTAACTTTGCTCCCTTCCAGACAGGATCAGATCTCGAAGATCGACTATGTTTTCTCGAACCATTGCGAGAGGGCAATGATTTCACCAGTCCCGTTAAAGGTATTGGGCTTGCAGTTGGTGAAGTCCTTATACGAGCATCACCTTGAGTGGAATTCACAATCATTCCACTCCTGCTAGTACCACTAGAACTGAATTGAGCTAAGGCTACCGAAACAGCCACAACCACTGCAGCTTGGATAGCTGTTGGATTGTATTGTGGAGGAGGTGGTGGTGGTTAAGTTGGAGTTATCGGAGGATTGCATCACGGTGTTCGGCGTGGAGGCATCTTTCAACTAAAAGTTTACAAAGATGAAGATGATATTAAGAATTCAATTGTGAGTATAATGAGAGTGGTCCATGGACTAAGTTGCCATAGCCCAACGAAACAGATGAGAGTATGATTGAAATAGAGATCTAACAATAGAAGGATGAAAGTACTTGGATAAAGATTTCCCAAAAGATTGGATGTCTGTCAATAATATTGGCATTAATGATGTATAAAGTTTGGGAAAAATGACCTATAAGCAAGTCTTACATCAAACCATAACAAGAAAATTTTGACAGCATAGAGACCTAGCAATAGTACTTGCAGTACAGGAATATTTACAGGGAAAAGTGCTACGTAGAGCATAGATAAGAAGGCTATTCCTTAAACCAAAGGAAAGGATGAGCAAAGCATATCCTACTAGTGACAGGCACCCCTCCGATGAACCCTCAATTCAGCCAGCTAACGCTCCACATCAAGGAGGTGTCATTCATACACTATCTGGCGTGCTCGGAGTTCTATGACTTCAACTTGGGTTACAGCTAGCTCTTGCTGCAAAGCCTCATTGTCTGCCATAGCTCTCCCGTGAGCAACTTCCATATTGTCAATATGATCTGTATTAGCGTTTGTATCTGCATCTAGATCCACGGTTTGTT